TTACTCCAGTTTTACGTTTTGCCAAAGGGAGAAACGTGATTGAAATCAATCTGCTGCTGATCTCAAGGCTTATTTTCAGTCTACAAAACATTGCATGATGAGGGCTGTAGGGATCTTGAAACATCTGTCACCTTCCATCCTTGAGTGTGAGGATTTCACTTGGAGATGGCCCTGTATCAGTGGGCATCTCTGCCTTTGCTTTTTCAAGCTGTTTCTTAAGTGCATACTCTTCCCCTCTGGGAGCACGTCCCCATTTCTGTGTATTTCAGCAGAAGCTGCCTTTAATTCCCGAATATGACTGGGGATCCTTTGCATTTGCAACTGCAGGACACTTGCTGCACGGGTCAGAGCAGAGCTGGGATGAGTCTGGGTATGCTGTACAGCCGTTCAGAGCAGCCCCCCGTGAATTCCCAAGCAAGCTGTCCAGTAGACTAACCCCAGTTCCTTCACTTGCATTTGCAAAGCTCAGTGAGATGAAACTGAGGAGGAGGAGGAGGAGGAGGATCCGATTGTTAACTCACTGATTTGCAGTGTCTAAGTAACTTGGCCTCTCTTTACCTCAGTCTGCCCATTTATAGGATGGGGACAAAACTTACCTACCTCACAGGGGGACGTGAGGCTTATGCAGTTTGCAGAGCTACTTTAAGTCCCTCTAGTGAAATGCTTCCACAAAGTGATAGGAAACCCATTCCAATCAGCTTCCCTCTCCTGACACATGAAATACTTAACTTGCAAAGACAGTCTTGTAGCAAACTTGCATCTTGGACTCTGACCAACTTCTCATGGGCAGCAGCTGTCACACCTTTCCCAGGGACGCAGCTGAGCAGATGGGGCAGCGTGAGAAGGGCTCTAGCCGTGCAGTATTTGGACTGCACAAAGCTTGCTAACGTGCAACCTTTAATGTGAGTGTCCAAACTCACCCCGGGTCTGGCATCATTGGCAAGATCCCCTCACAGTCCAGTTTTGGAGAGCTAGTGGTGACAGTGGGCCTGTATTAGGACAAGAGCTACGAAGAAAGGTGGACAGCAACTACCCACCTCTTCTCATCTCCGCATGACAGGCCTGCATGGACATCTTAGACAAACATGGGGAGGAGGGCGCACACGTATCTCCTGTAATGCTCCATGTTTCCAAACTAGCTTTTAGAATTTACCCCAAATCTCCCTTCCTGACAACCATGTCTTGTGTTATCAGCAGTGGGTGGTCAGAACGGCAAACCTGGCTTATTTACAGCTGTTATTCTGGGGCTTATCCTACAACTTGCAGAGCTGTGGAACAAGCTTGTGCCCAAGTTCTGTTGGGGCTGTAGGTGTGTAGTCTCACAGCTTCTGTTTCCCCAGACTTGTGGTGGAAGCAGATGTTTCAAAATCTTTATTTAGCTCTTTCTCAGGAATGAGTTTGGTCTCCCAAGTCTGTTGTGGCTTAATGACACTGAGTGGCAAACTGACTTCAAGTTAAGAGCCAGGCTAGTAAGAATTCAAGTGAAAGGATTCAAAGGTCTCTCTTAAAGCAGAAAAAGGAAAAATCTGTCTTGTGCCTATATTTCACATGCCGTGGAGCCCCTTAACGTAGAGCCGATGGCTCCTCTGCCTAAAAACTTCAGAAGCGGAGAGGTGGTACCGCAGCTGACCAGAAGGTTGCAGTGCCATCTTTTGGCTGGAGCGTCTTAGACTGTAGAATGCTGCAGTGTTTGAGGTGCCCCAAGAGAAGGGGTTTGAGTTTGATGTATTGGCTTAGCATCTTTCCAAGCTGTAAAAAGTGTATCCTTGGGCGGGGGGAGGGGGTTTATATCCTTCAAAGGGAACCTGAATTAGCAATAGCGATGGTAGTGTAGTTTCTACTTGTAAGCATTTACCATGCAGTTGCCCACGCATATACCTCGTTTTATAGGGTCTGAGCTCTTGCAACTCCTCCTGCTTTCAGCTGGGAACAGCAGGTTCCTCAGTACCTCTTAAAACCAGGTCCAAATGCATGTGCCTTTCTAAGAGTGACCATCCACACACAGCTGGGATCACAGGCAAATCTGCCTCAACTACAAAGCTTCTGCTGCATCCATAGTTCTCACAGCTTTGTCTCATCCCCTGGCTATATGCCTCGTCTTTCCCAGTACTTGTTTTTTTGTATGACTTGTGAATCATTCATTCCATTATCTTCCTTTCTGTTTGCCTCTGAAAAGCTGATCTCCAGGCAGCTGTCTCCTACCACGGAAATGTAGTAACGGGGCAGAGACCTAAGAAGCAGTGGCCTGCTGACACGAAGATCATCTCCATCTGGCACTGGTGTCTGCCTCTGAGTGTATGCATGGCTGCTCTGTGAGGGCTTCCAAAGCAGAGGGGGGGAAGGGATCCCAGCAACCAGCTGAGAAAAGCAGCTCTCCATTTCTAGCAAAGGAAAGTTGAGTCTTCTGAGGCCCAGAGTGATGTCACGTTTTCTAGTTTGAGACAAACTTATTTCAAACTGGTTCTTTTTACATGCAAAATAATACAGAGTGAAACAAGTTCACAGTTAAAATGTAGCATTGCAGATTTTTGGTGAGGGAAAATCCTTATTTACTGAGAATCCACACAGTACTGTTTGTCCGACAAGGAGTACAGTAGAAAGTCTTAGCAGTGGGAGTGATGTGTGCATCTCTAATGGTACTTAAATTTGCTTCAATTCTGGGTGAAGAGTAGAGAATGCCAAATTCTTGGAAATAACTTCCTCCAGTGTGAGGAGCCTTGCAAAATAGGTCTGCATCCTTTGTTTTCAAAGCTACTCCAAGCTTTTATAGCATATGGAAATAACTTAGGGAAAACAGTCTGCAAAGGATCTTTCACCCCAGAGCAGTTATAGCCAAGTATTACCGATGGTAC